CTTATACTTTACATTTAAGTCTAATATATTTTGAGTTGTTTTTGGGAAAAGTATAAGCTTTGTATTCATACTAATTTTATTTTGCATATGGAAGTGGAGTTGTTCTGTTTTTTAGACTTTTTCATTGTCTTGATTTGCTCTTCTGTCTTGGATGAGCTGACTGTATTTATGGGAGTCTGTTAAGAGGCTGTGTGTCCTGCGTCATGATCTGTGTGTTTATTCCTTGCTAACATTGCGCTATTGACTGCTGCAGCTTTATAGCAAATCTTGGAGATAGATAATATTTATCCTTCAACTTTATTCTTCTTCAGGATTACATTGGCTATTCTAGTTCTACCTTTTGCTATAAACTGTATGATCATTTCATAATAACACGTAAGACATCTTGCTGGAATTTTGGTTGCCTTGTATTGAAGCTATAGATCGAATTGGGAAGAATTAGCATTTTAACAATACCTAATTTGAATACAGAGTATCTTTCTACTTATTTTAGAACTTTCCAGTTTTCTACATATGGATCTTGGGCATCTTTTCTTAGATTTATGCCTGAGTATTTTTCTTTGCTTGTTGCTGTTGTTAATGATGCACCTCACCTGGGGTTACCTCCATTTATCTGTCTGTGGCTTCTCCTGTGACCTCAATTCCTGACAGGTTCAAATAAAGCTTTGGATATTCATTTTGCTCAGGTTTCGTTGTTGGTGGTGGTGGTGTAAGGCGGGAGTGATGTCTTCTAAGATTTTTGTGTTTTGTGGCTGAAATCAAAGGTCTTTCCTATTTCTTTAGAGTCTATTGTTGTAAATACCAGGAAAATGAGGTTCACTGTGATTAAATGAGTAGCTGGCATTTTCAGACTCTTAAGCAAGCCAGTGATCTTCCCCTTCATCCAGCCTCCAGTTCCAGTGAACATATCTCACAAAATTAACACAGGGAATATGTGGCAGAGCAGAAGGCTGTGGCAAGGCAGGACATGCAGGTGCATTGCTTTGAGAAAGCTAATTTATCAAACTGTCCTAATGGAAAGTGTAACTCCATGATCTATTACCAGTTACTTGAACTTTACAGAAGTATCTAGAAAAGAATTGTTTTACTAGTAGATCGCTTTAGCAGCACATGCTTATGTATGCAGAAGTGTTAGATAGAAGCATTATCTCTTGAGTGTGTTCAGAGTCAACCAATGGCTCTGAATAGTGCAGTCACCATGCTAGAAATCCTCATAGAAATGTTTCTGAGCCACACCTCTGTGTGACAGGTTCTCGGGTATTTCTGCTGTGTAGCTAAGGACACTATGGTTCAGAGTTGATATGAGAGCAGATGACTGTTGGGGCTGGAGTCTATCTAGCCTTGCCTGCAACTAATAACTATATAGCTTTGGCCAACTTATTCAAACTCTGTGAACTACACCGCACAAAGTGGGATTAAAAAGCAAGTACTGAACTAATATTCAAAAAGTTCTTATCATGGTTATAATAGTAATTCAGTAAGTTTATAAATTATTATTATAGTAATTATAATAATTATTATAAGATGACTGCTATAGAAATTATAATTAATATGTTATATCTATTACTATATGTTTGTTTATAATATATTGATGGAAATTACAATGTCAAGCCAAATAAATTATATTACATTATATTATTTTATATATTATATTTTATTATAAAAAAACCCCAGAAAATTCACAAATTTTATTAGTTCAAAGCTCTCAGTAGCACTGGAGGGTCCACATATCTCAGGTGTTCACAGGAAATATCTGAAAGCGAGGCTGTCTCTGGATAGCTATTTATGCCATCAACCTGCAGCCCAAAGATATTAACTTGAGTACTACATTTGGTCCTGATTTTCCCAATATAGTTCATTTAAAATACATAGAAAAGCAGAGCCACAGTAAGCTAGGGGCGCTCTAGGAATCACCAGCTTCTGTGGCTGCAGATGAAACCACAGGCCCTGAAATGGTTGTGCTCTGAAGACCTGCTCTCAAGGTAATGCCCAAGAACGGACACAAAGCCAGACACTCAGAGCTGCGGAGGGGAAAGCCTGGCCTCAGCTACTAAATGTCATCATGAGCAGCAGCATCAGTGGAGACATACGGGGGAAGGGCTACTCGGCCTGCTCTTTTGAGACGATGTCATTAATGGATCAATGGCCACCCAAGTCTCTAAGCTAACCTAACAGATGGAACCACCATGAGGCCTGGATCTGCCCTGGGTTACTGTCAGAACCCCTTTCTCAAGGCTCTTGGCTTGAGACAGGACTGCCTAAAGAGAGGCCAAAATCTCAATCATCCAGTTGCCGCCCCCAAGGTGGCCTTTAGGACTGCAAATTCTCTTTGGGTCTCCATAAAATAAGAGAGCTGTATGATAGGAATCAGAAACAACAGACTTGTGTGAGAAAGATGGCTCATTGGGTAAAAGCGCTTGCCATCAAGCCTAAGGTCCTGAGTTCAATTCCGGGGCCCCCATGCTGGAAAGAAGTTGTCCACAGGTTGTCCGTGTCTTCCCCCAAAAGTAAGTAAATAAATGTAATTGAAATAAAAGGTATTAAAAAAACCCTAGGAACTTTAAGAAGGAAAAGTGGAGTGACTGAGAGGATCTGGGATCAGTCAAAAGTACCACCTCTGGAAGGCATTTCAATGATTTCAATATAATGAACAATAAAAATGACTCAGACAGCTTCGTTGTCAAGCTCAGCAAAATCCTCCTGGAAACAGTGTATCCTTAGCCAAACAAGGTCAGAGCCTCCAATGGTCACAAGTCTTCCAAAGGGATGCTGACAGCTGGCAGGCTTACCTGTGTCACTACACCGGTAAGTGTGGGGCTCTGGTGTGGTGCCACACATCCTCAGTGTTGACATGGGAGCAACTTCTTTTTTTTTTGTTATTGTGTTTTTTAAAAGATTTTATTTCATTTCATTTTATGTATATGAGTGTTTTGCTTGTATACATGTAGGTGTACCACATGTGTGCCCTGGTGCCCTCAGAGGTCAGAAGAAGACATTGGATCCCCTAGAATTGGGTGCTGGGAATGGAATCTGGGTCCTCCGGAAGAGCAGTAGTGCTCTTAACTCCTGAGCCATCTCTCCAGCCTTGGGAGCAGCTTCTTTTAAAATAAGGACAGAGTCCCTGGCATATGTCTCCTCAAAACCCATCAAAGAAAATTGTCAGAGGAAGTAGGGGTGACTCATGAGACACTGTTTGCTTTCAAGAGCAGGGGGGCTTCTTATGCAGAATTCACACCTCATTACTATAGAAACCCCCCATATCTAATTCAGAGATAAGCATCAGATATCAAGAAAAGATGGAACAGAGCTCTGAATCATTTCTCAGAAATTCAGGCTTCTTCTTGCATTAAGACTCTAGATGTTCTCTCGGGTATTTCTATTTTACAGAAAAGGAAACTGTACTGGAGATAGATCTATTTAAAGAGCTTTTCTTTGATGTGAGAGTGGATAACTAGTGATAGTTGATTCCAGTTTCGTTCATTTAAAAATTATTCAAGTGAATTATAAGGGCTTTTGTTTAAAAAGTTTTTATTATTATAATACTTTTAATTTATTCTTTGAGAATTTTCATAGACACATGCAATCTATTTTTAACATATATACCCTTCCCCTGTATAAGCCCTCTTGAATCTTCCAACAGACTCCCCTTCCAACATCATATCCCTTTTTTCAATTTGCTGAGTCCAGTAAGTGCTGCCCATATGTGCAAGGGTATAGGGCCATTCACTGGAGCCTGGGAGACCTACCAAGGGGGCAGTTTTTTTTTTTTTTTGTTTTGTTTTTAATCAACAAGACAATGATGGCATAAAATTTTGGTGCCTTTATTTTAAAAAACAAGACAAGATTCTCCTCTCTCAATAAAATGTAAAAAAAGTGCCTAAACTTAAGCAGCACACAGAACTGAAAATTTCTTTAAACTCCAGGCTACGCAGGAAATAATGTTTATGATGAGTAAAAATGGTCTAAGCCAATCCTTATTCGTCAAAGGTAAGTTTTATATAACAACCATTACAAGAGCCAGTCCTACCCAGAGTGTCTACACAGTGTCCACACAATGTCTACACAGAGTGTCCACACAGAGGAGTGTCCACACAGTGTCCACACAGAGGAGTGTCCACACAGTGTCCACACAATGTCCACACAGAGTGTCCACACAGAGTGTCCACAGGGGTCCTCCTCCTTTTGCAGTGTTTCTCTGTTCAGGCCATGTTTGAGTTTAAAGCAGTGGTTTTCCAAGTACGGTCTCAGGAAAGCCAGGATCAGTGCCACCTGGTGACCTGGTTAAGTTGAATGAGAAACTCTGGCAGTGTGGCCATGGAACCTGATTGAACAAGCCCTCCAGGTAAAGCCAATGCACTCCAGGATCTGAGAGCCACTTAAGAGACCAGGGAAGGACTCAGCCCTGAGAGGGAAAGTTCTGGTGGGCATGCTCCAGTCTGAGGAAAGGAGATCTTGCTCTCGTGGCTGAGGCCGGTGCAGTGCTGGCATGGGCACAGTTCATGGAAACGCAAGCACTCACGGCAAGGCTACTGTCAGCAAGGGATATTCTTATTTATTTATCTCTGATGAAACATGAAACAGCTTCAACTTTTGATTTTTGCTATTTCTATACTTCCCTTTTCCAGGCCTTTGGCAGAAGTTGTTCATGAACGAAAGAGAAAGTGGTTTATGTAAACCAGGGCTTCTCAACCTTGGCGCTAGTGATGTTTAGGCCAGATAACAGTTTTTGTTGCGGGAGCTGTCTTTCATTGAAGCTTGCCAGGATCCTTGGATTCTTCCCATTGGACACAGGTATCCATTCCCCTCTCCCGACACAATCCTCCCACCAAACTAAGTCTTGACAACCAGAAACTTTTCAAGACTTTGCCAAATATCTGCTGGGAGCAAAACTGCACCTGGTTGAGAACACTGACTTAAGCCAAAGGAATCCTTCATAGTGGTCTCGAAAAGAAATGTGGCAGCAAAAGGACAGCCAGGCTGCCAGTGCCTGGGGGACTCACGTTGTAGGAGCGGCTGTGCCTCTGCCTCCACTGTACCAGCATCACCTGGACGGCGATCAGGGCAGAGAAGAAGATTAAGATCATCTCCATGTGCATGGACTCATGGCCTTGGTGCATCTGGTATATCTTCTCCTGCTTCAGGCTGGAACAGACGAACAGGGTCATCTGAAAAAGCCCTTGGCTTTCACACTACAAAAACCTGAAAATGATGCTGGGCTCATAGGAAGATGGGGATTTCAAATGTAGGTGGTGGTAAGCTTTGATTACAAAGGTTTTCTTGGTTTCTTACCTCCCTTTAGATTTGGGGAAGGGATAGATGATACTGTCTGCAACTTCACCTATGTCCTTTGTTTTTCTGTAGGGCTTTGACCTCAGTCTTTTCAAGTTACATGATGAGGCAGAGAAGACTGAGGCTCCAGTTCCAGATCAGCTGCTTCATTGCCTCATAACCCTGGTAAAGCCATCTGTCCTCTCTGAGAAATTCTTTAGTACCTCATAGCACATGTAAGACTATAAAAGAATCCAGGAATTAACTTCAAGTAATTTCTACTATTTACATGTAGAAAGATACCCTGAAGACAGATGGTGCCTATATCAATGGTGGGGATCTTAGACATGGGCAACTGGTAGCTCCAGAGTGGGCTGCAAAAACTGTTATATTAACATACTACTACAAGGAAAGAAATGGCCTAAGTATTTTCTTAGACACGCACAAACATTCAGGTGATAAATGGATTTCAGTTTTTAGTTGGACACTTGGTTTTGCACAATGGTGGATTCAGTCACTACAGTTGCATATCTGATGAGTGACCGTGAAAAAAGTCTAGAGCAGTGTTTCTTGACCTTGACTGTAAATTAGAATTGCCAGGGAGCTTTCAAAAGTCTCAGAGCCCAAGCAGTATTCCAGATCAATTAAGTCATGAGTACTGGGCATCATGAGCTAAATCACACTCTGAAGGACTAATACCTAGTATCGCAAACTGTTGGAATTCCTATGTTGAAGGCACAAGCCCTAGTACCTCCACCTGCTAGCCCAGACTGGTCAACACCTTAATCTTGGGCCCTCAGCCTAGAAATATGGGGAAATCAATTTCTGTTGCCCACACCATGCCATTTGTGGTATTTTCTTATGGTAGCCTAAGAAAATAATGCAGAGTTCCAGGATAGGAGTTACTTTAAAATTTTTAATTATGCTGGGCATGGTGGTGCACGTCTTTAATCCCAGCTCTCAGGAGGCAGAGGCAGGTGATCTCTGTGAGTTCGAGGCCAGCCTGGTCTACACACTGAATTCCAGGCCAGCTGGAGCTATAGGGAAACCTGTCTGAAAAAGACCAAAAAAATTTTTTTTAAATTATAAATTTGTTTTTAATGAATATGTAAGATGCACATATTAATGGAGTACCATGTAATATTTATACACAAGCATGTGCTGTGCAACATTTAAGGCATCAGTAATTTTAAAAAGTCTTCATATGATTTTAAGGGCAGTCAAGACTAAGAACCACTGGTCTAGAGGAAAGGAGGGAGGGAGGGAGAGGAGAGCAGAGAGAGAGAGAGAGAGAGAGAGAGAGAGAGAGAGAGAGAGAGAGAGAGGAGAGAGAGCGCTAAAGTCAAGATCAGGAAAAAGGAGAAAGATTTATGCAATTGCGCTCTATATTATTGGTCAGTATTATCTCTTAATAGCAGTGAGGTACCATCATTCACAAAATCCTTTGAAGTTAACTTTCCGTTAACTGCTTATAGTTTGCAGTTAGCTAGTGTGCCAGTCAGAAGACTATGACCTTTTAAGGGTTCCTGTTGGGGTATGTCAGCCAGTTGGGGGTCTCTCCTGTTCCAGCATTTCTACAAAGCCTAGGGTTAGAAAGGGCCCTATTGAAACCCAGGGGTGCCCCCTGCTGGATAAGGCTTAGAAATGAATCTAGAAGTATACAGATGGACTGTAGCCCTTCATTTGAACACAATTACATGGTTCTGTTGAATGCTGAGTTCAGGAGACAAGAATGATTTCTAAAAGCTCATAAATACATTCTCGTTTCCTGGATGTGGGAATCAAGGACAAATGGCAAAGGTCTAAGAACTTACGGTTTTTACAGACCTAAATCCAAAATAAGTCCATTCTATAAAATGAATGGACTTTTAACTTATGCTAAGTGAATGAATGTGTGAATTCATCATCAAGCTAAACTAGGACTTTCACAAATAGAAACCAAAATATGCCTTATGATATTAATCCATTTTGTATATATGCATATCACAAACATCGTATATATATATATATGTTTATATATTGAAAATGCATCTCAGATGGGTTAACCTATATGGAAATACTTTGAAAAGCATAAATTGGTATACAAATGTAGTAAGTATTTCCTATTTTGAATAGGAATACATTCATAATTGATTACTACAATGCAAAAGGAGAGTAACTTTTCATTTTTATTTCTTTCATGTGGTGCTCACAGTGCCCAATGGCCCCACTGTAGGTCCCAGAACACAGAGGAAGCAGCACATAAAGAAAACCAGATGTGCCATGTGCATAAAATAAATGAGAACTCCATACTGCCATATTTTAAAGAACACACAAATCTGTGTGGGGCTGCATGGATCACACTGTAGGAAATATATGCAGTTTGGGTCTAAAGTATCTTTGCATTATATATACACATACTATATTACCTCACTTTATCTATCCTAGGAAGTTTACAAATAAAAGGATGACTTCATTCAGTCTGTTAAGAGGAAAATCTTATTCTTAATAAAAGCAGCTATAAAATACTATTAACTTACTTCCACGCATCATCTGCAGAAAGCTCAGAGAGCTGGAAAACATAAAAAGACACATTAAAATTTCCTTATTTTCTTAGAATGTATTTTAAAGCATAACATGAGAAATGCAAACTGTGAAGAACAGTAATGTTCTCTAGCACTGGACTCATTTAGGATGAAAGCCCTCATAAAATATCTGCTTCTAGAACTAAAACAAAACAAACAAATGGACAACACAACAAAACACCAGTAATCAGGTCACCATTAATAAATATTTGATTCTGCTCCTCGGTCAGAAAAACAGATGCGGCTCCATTCCTACACTTTTGTTTCAGCAAATCAGTCAAGATTGTGGAGCGTGGCCCTCTGGCTTCAGGGACATGATTTGCAGACTGACTTCTCTTAAAAACCATCTGTTTGCTGGTGTCTCTAATGATGCCAGTGAGCAAACATCCTCTTGAAGTTCAAGGCCTTAGATAAGGCAGAGATGACTAGAGGTTGTATTTATTGGGAGTGTTGCTGTGCCTACTAGGTAAGGAGGCATTACGAGCAGAGGCTTATGTCCTTGTAGGTTGAACTGGAGAGCACAGGGACATTCCCAGGACGGGGGCCACCAAATACTGTCTTCAGTTATTTGAAACTTTAATCACTGGAAAAACAATCTGCAACAGTTTAACTCCCGTGCCAGCAGTGTTAAAAGATACTGTTTGAAAGTTAAAATTCCCAAAGATAGCAAAAAAGAGAAAGCAAACTAAACATTTTTCTAAAAATCTGGTATTAGCTGGGTGTGGTAGTGCATACTCTTAATGCCAGCACTCAGGAGGCAAAGGCAGGCGGAGCTCTGTGAGATGGAATCCAGTCTGGTCTACATAGTGAATTCTAGGCCTGTTCCGGCTGAGGCTACACAGTAAGACTCTATCTCAAAACAAAAACAAAACAAACAAAAAACAATGATATTATCTAGATTTTCTCCTGTGATAGGCATGAAGGATTATAAGAGACATAAAGGCTCTGGATGACACAGCTAAGTGTCTCAGAGAGGCTTATGCAACATTTGTACAAGGCCAGGGCTTTCTGGATAATGCCAGGAAACTGGAAGTAGATGATGCAGTGGTTCATACTGACAGCTATTCCACGGCTGCCATTGTTGGGACCTAGGTCTTAGCAGCTGGGCTCAAGTGCAAGTTCTAGAAGCAGAGAAATAATAATAGTAATAGCAATAATGATAGTATTAGTAGCAGCAGGACTTGGGTCTCCTTTCTTCGATAAATCTCCCTCTGCAGGCTTCTGTTTTGAAGGAGAAAATATTGAACAGATTTAGAGCCCAGAGCCTTGTGGCTATCCAGCACCACCCACCATCAAACAGTGAGCTCCCTAGTTCTTTGGATAATGATTTCAAGTGCATCATTAACTTGGTATTTGTCTCCATTTCTTCCTCATTAGATGCAGAAGAAATTGCTTTTGTCTACTTCATGGGATGAGATATATAAGAATTTTGAAGGAAGATGCTTAATCCAAGGGCCAGTGATCTCAATAAAAGTAATAACTATAGGACTACCTTCCTTTTGTTGTTAGAAACCTTCAAGTTAATAGTACTTGACATTTAAATTAGATTAAAATGGGATATTGAATATTTAGTAGGGAAAAGGTTCCATTTATCTTTTACTAGTGGTATAGCCCCGGGCATAACTATCTCTAACCACTCACGAGATTCTGCCACTTTAAGTGGAGGGTGATGAATGATTCTTTTGAGGTCAGGAAAGTGGAACTATAGAAATTGTACCTGAGAAATTTCTGCTAAATAAGTGGCAATTTCCTTAGGCAATATGATGTTGAAACTATTACTTCCTAGACAAAATGTGAATCAGGACGATGGCAAGATGACAATAATATAGATACTTTCCTCCCAAGTTGTCACTGTTCTCAGTAGCGCAACTTCCTCCCTCTTTAGGGTGGAGCTTATTTTTGAGGCATTGTTTTTATGGGATATTATTTTGCAAACCCATTCAAGATTCTAAGAAGATTTAGCTTGGAAATCACATTGACACTACAGTTAATCTAAAAGGATGAACATGTGAAAACAGCCAGGAAAATTCCAGAGTCAAGACTAACTAGGCTTGGACCACTAGACACTGAAAACCATGATAGAGTCACAGAAGTCACTTGAAAATAGTACTGGCTGAGAGATGGGAAGACATATGAGAGAGCACAGCAGTCCAGGACTAGACCCAAGTATGTATGAAAAATGAGCCACTTCAAAACGGCAAGGAAGAAATGGATTGTTCAAAAAATGGTGCTGGGACAACTGGTCAGGCATTTGGAGAAAAGGAGACTGGATCCATCCATTCTCATTCCATGCTTCAAAATAAATTACAGACGGACAAAATATTTAAATGTAAGGAAGAAAATATTAAAAGCTTCAGAAAAAATATGGGTAAACATTTTTATGATCTTGTGGTAGATAAGACATTTAGAAGTATGATATGGAGCCCAAAACTGATAAAGTAAAGCAACCAACAGGTTTTGAGGACATGAACATCAAATCTGTTATAATTATCTCTATTTGAAAGACAAATTAAACTGGAAAAAGGCAACCCATCAGAGAGACAGAAAGTTAATCTAAAATATAAAAAGAACTTTTACAGTATATTAAAAAAGGAGACAAACTTTCTAAAGGATGACTCACAGGAACCAAAAATTCACAACAGAAATATGAATGATCAGCAGATTTGTGGAAAGATGTTCAAACTCACTTATTTCTGGGTATTTTATAAAATGAGAATCAAGTAAAACCTAGGTCTTTCAGTGAAACATGGTAAGTGACATTTATGTATTTGCCTCCTGTTAGTCCTCAAGGAGGACACCATTTATGGTGTTTGGAAAGCACATGGTCTCTGGGAAAGCCCATGGAGGTAGGGCACTAACAAAAGCCAGGTGACCAGGCCAAGACCCTTAGGAGGGCAGAGGGACTGAGAGGTCCCAGGACTTCTGGGTGAGAATGCAACTGGGATTGAAAAAGGAAAGTTCAATGGAGACTCTGTATAAAGCCTCCATGCTGTCCACAAGGCTAGCGGCTAACACTGAGGCAGACGCTAGGTGGCATCAGGCATGTGCAGAGAAGGCCCAGGTCCTGACTGAGCATCACTCCTGGATCAGGCTGCTGGGGCACTGCTCAGCTTTAGAAACATAAAAATATTGGACTGGAGAGCTAGATCAGCAGTTGAGAGAACTGGTTGCTCTCACAGAAGACCTAGGTATGGTTCCCATCATCCACAGGCTGCTAATATCATCTCTAACTCTGGTTCCAGGGCATCCAATACCCTCTTCTGGCCTCCATGGGCACTGCATGCATGTGCTGTACCTACACACATCCAGGCAAAATACTCATGCACATAAAAATAAATTAATCTCCCTTTCTCCCTCCCAGAAGAAACACAAAATATGGTGGGCTTTTAAAAAATACTCTTTTGGGGGCTGGAGAGATGGCTCAGCAGTTAAGAGCACTGACTGCTCTTGCAGAGGACCCAGGTTCGATTCCCAGCACCCACATGGTGGCTACAAACAGTCCTTAACTCCAGTTCCAGGGGAATCTGAAGCCCTGTTCTGACCTCTGCGGCATTGCATGACATGGGTGCACTCACATACATGCAGGCAATACACTCATACACATAAAATAAAAATAATAAAATAAATATTTTTTAAAATACTCTTTTTTAACTTAAAAAAACTTTATTGAGAATCATTTCTGTCTTTTAAGAAAATATTTTGGTTTGGTAACTGATGAGTGAAAATTGACTAGAGAGAGGCAATGCAGGGCTTGCACGCTCAGACTTGCAGCCAACGATGAAGAGAGGAAGAACATGGTCCCTTTAGCCTCTGGGTCTGCAGGTTGTGCAGCTCTGGTGTGGGTCTGCAGACATGGGTATAGATGCAGACTGATTATAATAATTAGGAACATGGCATGTGGACCTCTGGCTGTGCTGTTGGTCTGGACATGCTAGACATGGTCCTGCCCACTTGGTTCAGAATGCTGGCAGCCAGACAAACTTCTTTTGCATGGAAGACCAGAAGATTCTATTCTAGGGAAACCATCCAATCCAAGAGAAAAGATCTGTAGCTGTGGAAGGCCTTGTTCATTCTGAGAAAAAGCCCAGCCAAGTCAGCCTCTGGCACTGTCCCTGGACAGCGTGGTCTGCTGCAAGAGAGTATTTAAACAGTGCTATAGTGCCTCCCTTTAGTACAAATGAACAGCCAAGGGTCATAGCTGCTGGAGACAGAGGTTCTGTACCCATAATGACAAGCAAACCACAGAAACTTTAACAAAGAAAATAAAGCAACAGAAAGCCTAATGGAAGGATTGGTGGTAATGATGGAACGCTCTCAAATAATTAAAAAAATTCTAAGCGAAGGAACATACGAGAGAACATAGGAAAATATTAGAGAATTTGTCCAGGAGAGAACTGACATCCAAATAACAAGTCTCTAAAAGATGACAGAAAAACTTAAATTATACAAGAAAATTATTAAGGACTGAAAGTTACCCATTTTCAAAACGAAATACTCAGAAACTGGATGAGAAAGATTCACATGTTTGCCTTTCCTTTTACAGAATGTTCATAGGATCTTTAAAACAATAATAAAGATCTCTACTACATGGCATATTGAGGAAAGCATGCTTCAAAAAAGTCATGTATAATATGAGCCTATTTGTGTAAACATATCCTTATATAAAGAGACACCCAGATTAAAAAGACACTCAGAATGGTTACAAAAGACGATCAAGAATGCTCCACAGGTGGTGATGAGCTTGATATTGCTTTCTTTTTTCTAGTTGTCTTCATTAATGTCTTCTACATGAACAATGCTACCTAAAAGGAAGGCGTTTCTCTTCTCTGCCTCTTTGTTCCCACTGTCTGATCAGTTACCAAGACCTCTTCTCCTGTCTCTGTACCAACATTTATCTCTACTTCTCACTTTTTTGGTAGCTAGTCAAATCTCACATTTGAGCTCTAGATTCTTCTAAGTGCTTCCTACAAACTTCCTCTTAGATGTC